ATATTTTCTTTCTCTCCCTCCCTAATTCTAGATAAAAAAAAGGTTTTCATTTTTTTTTTTTTTTTTTTTTTTGATAAATTATCATGATGATTATGATTACAGTGAATGATAATTGTTGTCCTTCCAGCAACAACAACAACAAAATGGATGCTATTTTTGTCATTTTTTTGATGTTTTTTTTGAAAATTTTTGAAAAAAAACAAACTACAAACATTTCCCGCGAGATGGCATCATGTGTATCAGGAAAAAATATGCGATAAAAATTCCATCAACAAAAAAAAAAAAAAAATTTCTTTTGCTGACCTCGACAAAATCCCAAAACTTAACCCGTGTCACGCTTGTCTTTTTCTTCTTCTTCTAAAGAAGAAAAAGAAAATTTAAAACAAAACGAAACTCCATATCCGTTATGATTATGATACACTAATCACCAAGAGAAAAAAATAAAATAATAATCATCTTGTCGTTTGATTATTATTAAATGACCATTATCTCAGCATTTTTTCTTTTCCCCCAAAAATGCATGAAATCCGCGAAACAAAGCATAATGAAATTTTTTGTTAATAATCATATCCACTTTAATTTTCTTCAATTTCAATTTTCTTCTTGTTCTTCTTTATGAATGTGTTCATTATAATCAAAAATAATTGACAGTTTCCAGGTGAATACAGACATCCGCATCATCACTTAAACATCATCATCATCTATTTTGCCTTTGATAAATAATGAGGATGATGATTATGCAATGATCATTATATATGAATGTTTCATGTTTCATAATCAATTTTTTTTATTATTATTAAATCTAATCACTTGATATGTGAAATGTCACTAAATAACAATTTTTTTTTCCAAAACTTTAAAACAAAAATTTACATTTTCAACAACAAAATTTGAATAAATTAAAACATTGCAAGGGTTTTTTTTTCTATTTTTTCAGAGGAAAAACACAAAACAAATAAAAAAAAAATCTTTGGGAAAATTCTTGAGAATTACAAAATGAAATGAGAATTACAGAAAGAGAACGAATGTCTGTGTGTGTTTGAAATAAATTAGAAAACCACCAAAAACAAATAAATAAAGAGGTTGAAAAAGCCATTGCCAATTTTTCAGGAGATTTTCAATTTTGAAAATCTTTGGAAAATCATATTGTGGCAGTTTGTTTCAATAAGGTGATTAATATCCACCTTTTCTGGAACCACCACCACCACCTCCATAGCCACCACCGCCTCGTGACATACCGCCACCATATCCACCACCGCCTCCTCCCATACCACCACCATAACCACCACCGCCGCCAGACATTCGTGCAATAATTGTTTGAATATCTTCTTGTACTGGTTTAATTTCTTGAGTAATTTTACGGTATGGTGTAATTACTTCATAAACTTCTTGTAGAATTGGTTTTTTAACTGTATGTTTCAAATAATGTGGTTCATCTTCGGATTGTGATTCTTGTTGTGAACCTGCAGCACCTTCATGCATTTGTTGTACATTCAGGTTTGATGATGCTGAACGAAATATCATATTTACTGGAATGGCTTGTGCACCGACTAAATCATCATCAACAACAACATTAGTTAATTAATTTAATTTTCAAAAAAATTTCGAGTGCAAAGGGTTAATTTTTTTTTTTGGTTTCAAGATACAAACCTTCGATTGTAGTTGGATTAACCATACCGGTTGATGGAACATCATAAAATTGTACATTATGTCTTGATTGAATTGCAGCTTGAATAACACCCATTCCACCACCACCAAAACCACCTCCTCCGCCACCACCATAGCCACCCATTCCACCTCCACCATATCCACCACCACCACGGCTCATACCGCCACCATATCCGCTACTGCCACCACCACCACCATATCCGCCAGCAATACAGCAAACAATCATTGATGAAATGACAACAATATACTAATTTAGGTTAGGTTAGGTTAACCAAAAGCGAGAAAAAAAACGGGAATTAAAAACCAAAAACCAAAATTAACCACAAAAAAAACACAATATCACCAAAAACAAAAAAGCACCAAACACACACATAGAACACATACTTTGAACATGATTGCCAAAGGGTTGATTTTTTTTTATGGATAAAAACTGGATAAAAAACACACAAAAGAAAAAATATTCAGATGTTGAATGTTGATTGAATGAAATGGATGACCAATTTTGAATCAATCAACTTAGTTTATATAGTCGTTTGAAAAAGTCATCGTTGTAGTCAACAAAATTTATTTCGTCAACATTTATGTCCCCTCTCTCTCTCCCTTTCTCTATTTCTACTTTGTAGTGAAAAAAAAATATCACCATCAAATAATAATAATGATGGTTATTTACACATCATAAGACAAGAAAAAAAGGTAAGGAGAGAGAGAGAAAGAAGATGAGTCTATTTTTTTCATTATTATTCAGCAAAAAAAGTAGGCGGTCTACGATTGGTCAAATGATGATGATGATGATGGTGGATGATCCAACACCATTATTATTAATCCACCAGCATCATCACGGTATTGTGTTGAACCTTGAAAATCTGAATGATGTTGATTATTGAAACAGCAACGGATAAAGAGAATGGTTGTTTGAAATGTGAAAACTGAAAAGCGAATGACGAAATCAAAATTGGTTGGATACACACAGTGAATGAATGAATGAATGTGTAAATAGAGTGAGAAATTGAAAAGAAAAATCCCGAAAGAATGTGATTGACAGTCGAACGAAAGAAAGAGACATTCAACAACAAAAATGATCCAAAATGATGATGATCGTAATCATTATTTTGGATCATTTTTTTACAGGTCAAATTTTCTTTGAAACTCGTGAAACTAGCCACCATCACCATATTCATTTAGTTTAATTTCTCTTCAATTCATTTGATGATGATGATGATGATATTGATGTAGAGCAATCAGATGAAGAAAGAAAGAACAAAAAATTGATTTATTTTTTATGAAAAATTTTATTACAAAATTTTACTTGAAATAATTCACAAACAACGTATTCCGATTCTTCATATATCGAAGGTTTTAGATTTTGTAGCGAGTAAATTGGAAATTCGGTAATCGATTGATCGATTTTTTCGTACAAAAAATCATCCAAATAATAATAATGATTTAATGAGCCAAATTACAATTTTGACCACATTATAATAATGGAATTTTAACCTGAGGAGACGAAATTGTCTTTATATTTCGACAACAACTTTTGGAACATGATTTTTGTTTTTTGGCTTTTGTTTATGTTCATTGCCCTCAATTTTCCTTTATTTTCATTTCTCGTTACAATTACCGAACTGTATACATATTAGGATAATTTGCACGTGTTTATTTTTTTTTTCATTTGTATTGCACGTGTAATCGATTTTTTTTTGTTTTGTTTTCTCTTACGATATTCATTAAGGGTTAATAATAATTGCATTGCTCTCGATTTTTTTTTCAGTTTGAAAAGAATAGGTTTAGGTCAATTGTTTGGGGATGACCATTACCACAATGTCAAAATAGAATGAAGAGCGTTTTTGGTGTTTAAATAGTTCCACTGATTCATTCATAATCAATAATAAATGATTAGCGAGAAAACAAAACAAAACACGTAATGCTTTTTTGTTGTACGTTTTTTTTCTTTCAACAAAACAACAACAACAATCATCGTTTATCTTAACGCATGTCATAATTTGACCGGAAGATTTTTTCCATTCATTCATAAATAACGTTCGTGCTCGAATTTTAATGATTTTAAACAAAACAAAAAAAAATGATGATGATGATGATCTTTGCGTACAAACAATGCATAATGTGATGATCATGATTATGAATTTCTATCATCATCATCATCATTAAAAATTTACATCTTTTTTACCTGCATTATAATGATGAAAAGTCGACATTTTCTTCTTCCAGTTCATATTATTCAAAATATTATAATCTACTGATTTGGCTTTGAAAAATTTTCTGTTTTCTGTTTTCAGTTTGTCTATTTGGATTTGTTTGTTTGTTTGTTTTTAATAACGATGTTGATGTTGATGATGATAATGATTTGTGACTAAATCCACCTACACGTGTAACTTGTTTGAACAAGAAAAAATGACAAAAAAAAACACTTGTCATACCGGATATAATTCATAAATGACGTAAACCGTTAATGTAATTTGATTAGTTTGAGAATGAAATGAAAACAAAAAACTTCGAAAATCGATTTATCATTATTTAATTCAATCCTGTTATTTTTTTTGCTAATTTGATTTGAATTTTTGGGAAATTTCCCCAGTAGTCAGTAAACATAATTCATGTCTACCGGGAAACGCCAAAAATGAATAGAAAAAATTTCCCAGAAATTTTAATACAATTTTCCAAAAAAAAGTTTCCACCAAACATTATCAGACCACAGAAAAAACGACTAAAAATCCAAAAACAAATTGATTGATTGATTGATCGATTCAAAGATTAATCTTGACTTTGAAATTATAATGATTGATTGATCAATCAATCATTTCAACAACAGCATTTATGATCCAATTTTCTTTTTTTCATTCATGATTGAACAGACAAAGAGCGGGAAAACTTTCCAGAAAGAATACAAAAAAAAACTATTATGTAAAATTTCTTCATTTCATTTTCATTTTCTAATCAAAAATCATTAAAAATTGAACAGTAGCCGTCATTATTATTTTTTCAACAAAAACTTTAAAATTTAAATTGAAAATTGTGTAACATTACATAACATAACATTGTTTATTTTGTTGAAAACTTTTTTTTTGTGTCAATTTTTAGCCCTTGTTGTTGTTGTTGTTGTTGTTGAAATGATATTCAACGACGACGACAACAACAACAAATTTTCTTTAAAAAGTAACATTTACAAACGAGAACAATGATCATTATGGATTTGTTGTTGTTGTAAATAAAATTGTCATTTGATGATGACAATTTTTCATTGGAAAAAAGTTTCTGATGACAAATTCAGTGGCAGCAGGTTAGCAGCCAAAGCAGTAAGGTTTTCGACCAAAAATAGTTTTGTGGTCCAAAAAATTATTTCAATTCAGCAGGTGATGAAATATCAATTTTTTTTCAAAATTTCACATCCACGATGAATTGCGTGAATTCATTTTCCTTCATTCATTCATTTTTGCTGTTGTTGTGAGGAAAATCCATTAATTCGTAAGATTTGTTTTTCAATTTTTTCGTTGCTGAAAAATGTCTCAAAAAAAGAAAAATTACAAACAAAAAAAACTTATTGAGCAAAACATCCTTCATCATCATAGTCGTCGTAGTCGTTGTCAAAAACCCTATAATTAAATGCGAAAAAAAGCCTTTTTTTCACGGAAAATTTCCATAAATCAATCAATAATTGATATATGGAAATTACGGAAAGTTTTTTTTTCAATTTTAACCCAAACTACATTTTAGTGATCAATATGATCAGAACAGGTTTCATTTTCAGTGAAAAAGTTGAATAAAATTCAAAAAAATGAATTTCTTCAAAATTAAATTAAATTGCATTAAATGATAATGATGAAAATCATGAATACACGATTTCATCATCCCATAGATTTCATTAGCAAAAAAGTAGAAGAAAAATTCATCAATCAATTTTGAAGAAAATGAAAATGAAAAGTGAAAAAAGTGATTCAATTTTCGTAAACATTTCTCTCTTTTTTGCTTACTTATGATCCATATATTTTTCTTCCCATCATTTTTTTCAAAAAAATAGTCGCTACAGTCTAAATAGTTCAATTTTTTAATTGATAATTTTGATTGATCGATAAATCGATAAATTAATTTCAATTTTAACAAACGAATTTTTTGCTTTGCTTTGCTTTTGTTTCCACAAATATACAAACCAATAATAATAACCTTGACATTCGCAACATGATTATGAATATTTCGAAATCGAAAACAACAAGAAAAAAATGAATCAGTTCAAACGAGAAAACCATTAACGAAAACGAAAAAAAAAATCATCATTAAAGTTTCCGTTTCGAATAATGATCATTAAATGGATATTATGTTTTTTTTCATTCGATTCTATATTGACCTTGATTGGTCAACACAACACAATATGAGTGGCAATAGCTTTTTTTTAAAGTGAAAAATAATAATAATAAAGGGAGGGGAGAAGAAGAAAAACTTGACAAAAACACTTTAAAATCATCAAATAATGATGATTGATTTGAATACATACCACCTACTGTATGTATGTATGTAATGGTAGAGGTGATGCAAAATAGAAAAACAACAAAACAACAAAACAATTGAATTTCATTATGTCATCATCATCATCATCATCAACATCGTCGTTTAAGTAAAATTTATTAACGAAATCCTAATGTAGACGATGTCGATGTAGACGATGTCGTTGATGATGATAACGACAAACATTTTATTCATGGTCAAAAAGGATTTTTTTTTTTAAAAAAGTGTGAAGGTGTTCTAAATTTGCAGTAAATAAAAAATAACTGATTGAATACGAAAATATTTATGAAACAAAAAAAAACTAAACTGAATCTTCAATTTCGATCAAAACATTCATCATTTGATCGTTTGTTAATATGGATTATGAAATGTTTCTTTTTATTTGTCTCAAATTTCAGATTTTATGATTAAAAAGTTTGAATTTTTGTTGTTGTTTTTGACATATTTTCTCGAAAGAAATGTGTAGTTACAAGAAAAAAGTGTAATGTTTTTTTTTTGTTTTTTGTAAATAAAATTATTTCATACAAATTTTTTTATAAAATAAAAGTATTAATACAAAATTCATTAAAAATAATTCAACATATTTATATTTAATAACGAGAAATATTTGTCCACAACTAAAACCCAAATGATTTTCGGACATAATTTGCCCGAAAAGATTTGAACGAATTTCATTACAAATTGATAATGGTCGTAATAATTTTTGTTTTTTACTACCGCAAATTTTTCTATATCGTTGATATTGTTTTCGTGCTAACCATTTCATCAACGATAAACATCCTAAACGATTATAATATGGTAATTGTGATGCTCTGGAATAAATACCATTCGTAAAGATAAATGTTGATAATAAAAATATACAAATAATTGTATTGAATAAATACATTTCATTTTGTTTACTATAGAAAATACTACAATAAATAATAGCCGATTTGGAAATAGTTTCAATACCGAAAAAAACACGACTCATTGTTTGATTAATAATAAATACATCATGATTAAGTTGATCATATTGTTTCATAAATTGACGATAAATTGATTGATCAAATCGATCTAATTGAATTATTGAACATATATGTAAAATTATTTGTTTGATTTGTAATTTTAATAATTCAATAAAAAATAGCAGATATTTTAATGCATTAAATAATTGTCCAATTAAATAAATTGAACGTATTAATAGATTGATTAATAATAATAAATATATTATTAATGAAATGAATGTAATTTCATTATTTATAAATAATGAAATAAATATTGGAATAACAAATATACCGAATATAATTATAATGATTATCATTATAATATTTAATGTTTTTGATATAAAATCACCAATATAAATTAAACGTGTTAAATATTGACGATATTTACAATTTAATTGATTATCATCAAATCGATAACAATATTTTTGTACAATAATATTTGCTGGAAAATTATAGGTAAGAATATTTTTGAAAAATTTAAAACATAAATATTCAAGTATAATAAATATTGTTATTTGAAATTGAAATAATAAATCAATACGTTCAAATTGAAATAAATGTTCAAATGATTTTAATGATTTTTGATGAAAATAATTTGGAAACAATGCCAAATGAACAATATAAAATATGTTGATCCATGAATTTAATGTTAACCATATTGTTGTACGAAATGTTTGATATGACCTAACTTAAAAAGCAACAAGTATTAGAAGTTTACTTATAAGATTTGCTATATGTATAAATTTTAAACATTCAAAACTATCTTCAATAATATTGCCAATGCGAATATAATTTGTTGGATAAATTTGATTTAATATTCGTTTCATCATTTTCATTATTATTATTATTATTATCTTTCGTTGTTTTATGAATGAATACTGATTAGCAAATAATGTTTATTTCAAAAATAAAACGAAAAACAAAAATTACAAAATGAAAAGATCATTATACTTTGTTTTTGACAATGAATATTGACTTTTTTTTTGATGAAAAAAATGATTATTATGATTGTGTATATTGTTTTTGTTTGTTCTTTCATTGATTAAAGTTTTTTTCATTTTCACTATGAGATTGATGATTCAATAATCGATTAGATCGACATTATTTACATTAAAAATCGTCAATGTTAAATCGAAAAAAAACAACAACAAAAAATAACGTGAAATATTCCAAATGAAAGTTTCATTATAATTATAATTATTTTAAATAATTTTTTTTTATAAAATAAAATAACTACCCAGGCAGAATTATTACTCTTTAAAAACCTGGGTAATACAAAATTCACTCAAAAATAATTCAACATATTTGTCAGCTATTTTTTTTAATGATAATTTTATTTATTCAAACAACAATTTACAAAACAACATAACACAAAGTGCAAAGGTGTTCTAAATTTGCAACAACAGCAAAATATAAAATACAATAACCGATTGAATACAAATAATATTTATGGAAAAAAAACTAAATCTTAAATTAGTAATTGATGGGGATGATGATTAACAAATTATTGTTTTGTTTTTTTTGTAAATTAAATTATTTCATAATGATTTTTTTATAGAATAAAATAATTAATTGAAAATTCATTAAAAATATTTCAACAAATTTATATTTAATAATTGGAAATATTTGTCCACAATTAAAACCTAAATGATTTTCGGACATAGTTTGTTTAAAAAGATTTATACGAATTTCATTCCGTACTGATATTGATCGTATCGATCGTATTGATCGTATTGATCGTTTTTTATTATAACGTTGATATTGTTTTCTTGCTAACCATTTCATAAACAATAAACATCCTAAACGATTATAATGTGGTAATTGAGATGCATGTGAATAAATACCATTCGAATAGATAAATGTTGATAGTAAAAATATACAAACAGATGTATTGAATAAATTCATTTCAATTTGTTTACTATAAAATATAGTACAATAAATAATAGCCGATTTGGAAATAGTTTCAATACCGAAAAAAACTAGGCTCATTGCTTGATCAATAATAAATACATCATTATTAAGTTGATCATATTTTTTTGTAAATTGACGATAATTTGATTGATTAAATCGACAACAACAAATTTTCAATTGTAAACATAATAATATTTGTTTGATTTGTAATTTCAATAATTCGATAAAAAATAATAAATATATTAATGCATTAAATAATTGACCAACTAAAAAAATTGATCGTATCAATAGATTGGTTGATAATAATAAATGGATTATTAATGAAATGAATGTAATTTCATTATTAATAAATAATGAAATAAATATCGGAATAGCAAATATACCCATTATAATTATAAGGATTGTCATCATCATATTTAATGTTTTTGATATAAAATTACCTGTATGAATAAAACGTGTTAAATATTGACGATATTCAGATTCGAATTGATTATCATTAAAATGATAAGCATATTTTTTCATTAAATTATTTAATGGATAATTATAGGAAAGAATTTTTTTAAAAAACTTAAACCATATATATTCAAGTATAATAAATACGGTTATTTGATATTGTAAAAGAAAATCAACACGTTCAAATTGAAATGCACGTTCAAATGATTTTAATGATTTCCATAGAAAATAATTTGGAAAAAATGCTAAATGAACAATATAAAATATGTTGATCCATGAATTTAATGCTAACCATATTGTTCGACGAAATGNGATATGACCATTGTATTTTTCGTTGTTCATAATCTTCAAATGAATATTCTAAACGATATATATAAAATTTTAATGATTCAAAACAATCTTGAACAACATTGCCAAAACGAATATAATTTGTTGAATAAATAAGGTTTAATATTCGTTTCATCATTTTCATTATTTATTATTATTATCTTTCGTTGTTTTATGAATGAATACTGATAAGGAAATGTTTATTTTTTTTTTTGATCAAGAAAAAAAACGAAGAAAAAAAATATATAAAATATATAGCAAAGATTTTTTTCTAAAGAAAAAAATTCAATAAATGATCGATATTTGCCATATAATAGTTTTGGAGGTTCGATTAAAATAAAATTATTATTATTATTATTTTTGTGAAAAAAATGGTAAAAATCATTTGTCATTGGTTGAATAATTGCATAATTTTTTTAAGTTTTTCATTTTCATTATAATTGATGATTCAATAATCGATAAAATTATAAAATTATTATATTTATTAAAAATCGATTGCGAATGCTTCAATAACAACAACAACAACAATAACAACAAACATAAAATATTCCAAATGAAGATCAATATCATAGGCTATTCAAAACTGGCCAAAACCATTTTAGGCGCTCAATATTATCAATAATAATTATTTTGAAAGTTTTATTTATTCAAACAACAATTAACAAAAACAAAACAAAAGTGCGAAGGCGTTCTAAATTTGCAACAACAACTAAAAAATAAAATACAATAACCGATTGAATACTAATAATATTTATGGAAAAAAAACTAAATCATAAATTAGTAATTGATGGGGATGATGATTAACAAATTGTTTTGTTTTTGTTTTTTTTTTTTTTTGTAAATTAAATTATTTCATAATGATTTTTTTATAGAATAAAATAACTAATTGAAAATTCATTAAAAATATTTCAACATATTTATATTTAATAACGGGAAATATTTGTCCACAATTAAAACCAAAATGATTTTCGGACATAATCTGTGTAAAAAGATTTATACGAATATCATTCCGTATTGATATTGATCGTATTGATCGATTTTTATTATAACGTTGATATTTTGATCGTGTTAACCAATTTATTAATGATAAACATCCTAAACGATTATAATATGGTAATTGAGATGCATGTGAATAAATACCATTCGAATAGATACAAGTTGATAGAAAAAATATACAAATAGATGTATTGAATAAATTCATTTCAATTTGTTTACTATAAAATAAAGTACAATAAATAATAGACGATTTTGCAACAGTTTCAATAGCGAAAAAAACTCGGCTCATTGCTTGATCAATAATAAATACATCATGAATAATTTGACCATATTTTTTCATAAATTGACGACAAATTAATTGATTAAATCGATAACAACGAATTTTCGATTGTAAACATAATGTTATTTGTTTGATTTGTAATTTTAATAATTCGATAAAAAATAATAAATATGTTAATGCATCAAATAATTGGCCAATTAAATAAATTGAACGTATTACTAGATTGGTTAATAATAATAAATGGATTATTAATGAAATGAATGTGATTTCATTATTTATAAATAATAAAATAAGTATTGGAATACCAAATATACCGAATATGATTATAAGGATTGTCATCATCATATTTAATGTTTTTGATATAAAATTTCCTGTATGAATAAAACGTGTTAAATATTGACGATATTCAGATTTTAATTTATTATCATCAAAATAATAAGCATATCTTTGCATTAAATTATTGAATGGATAATTATAGGAAAGAATATTTTTTAAAAACTTAAACCATAAACATTCAACTATAATAAACATGGTTATTTGATATTGTAAAAGAAAATCAACACGTTCAAATTGAAATGCACGTTCAAATGATTTTAATGATTTCCATAGAAAATAATTTGGAAAAAATGCTAAATGAACAATATAAAATATGTTGATCCATGAATTTAATGTTAACCATATTGTTGTACGAAATGTTTGATATGACCATTGAATTTTTCGTTGTTCATAATCTTCAAATGAATATTCTAAACGATATACATAAAATTTTAAACATTCAAAACTATCTTCAATAATATTGCCAATGCGAATATAATTTGTTGGATAAATTTGATTTAATATTCGTTTCATCATTTTCATTATTATT